AAAGTTGTAGGGGGTTGACGATCAAAAAAGTTTGGCAACCCCTGGTCTAGATAATGGGCTGTTGTGTTGCTACATATTCTAGATTTAAAGTCACGACATTAGACAAAAAAATTATTGTTAAAAGTTTCTAACACCTGTGTGATATTTGGTTTTGCTTTCCATATGATCAACACATGGGCATTTCAAAAAAGTAATGGCAAATTGATATTTCATGAAATGAATATCCCAGGCATTTCCAACTCCTGCACAGAAAAGATATGTTCTTAGAGAATGTATTGACACTGTCTTGTGCTTAATATTGAAGGGGTAGCATATACGTAATGGCTGCACTCTTAGCTGTTTGCACCATGGAGGCGTAGTGAGCAATCATCAGACTTTTGTGGTTGAAGGTGTGAAACAACAAAAATTTGTTTGTAAATTTCACACAAAATTTCATCTGTGTGATATTTGGTTTTATGTGAAATTTACAGATGAATGCTACAACAGTATGGAGGTGCCTGCATTGGTAAGAAAAAAGTGTACAAGTGGGTAAATATGTTTAAAAATATGTAAACATCAATCTGTGGCGAGCAAGTTTCCCAACATGGCTATTACTGATGAGAAGGAGGGTTATGTTGATGCTATTATTCATGAAAACAGATGCAATTCCTTAGAAGTTTTGACCAGAGAATTGAATGTCTGTATCAGATTTACACATATTATTGTCACAAACATTTTCTAAAGGCATTCTTCTTCATGATAATGCAACCTTCACATGGTTGTTGCAGCTCTTGACACTATTTTGAGATTGAGATTTCAGATCTTATAGCATCCCCCATATAGCCTTGGCCTTACTTATTCTGCTTATTTTGTGTAGGATGCTTTTAGAGGACAATATTTGGGAATGCTTACAAGATGATAGATGCAATGCATTCCTGGCTAAATGAAGAACTGAAAGCATTTCTTTCTGATGGAATAAAGTTGATGCAATGGTGTGAGATGTGTATTGAAAAAGAGAATGATTATGTAGAAAAATGACATATCATTTGTATCTTTAAGTGAATTATATATCTGAAAATATTTAATTTGTTGTTACTTTTTAAATGCCTATGTCATAAAACACTGTTTCCTTTCTAAATTATTCAAGATGGCAAAGTATATGTCAATAAGATTAGTAACAATGGAATGTTTAGGAATTCTGTAATGTACCAGATATAATTTTGCGCTTATCAAAAGGCAAATAGGTTGGTAAATGCATAACTCAAAATTTCCAGTATGGCTGAGGAAATGGATATTAAACAAAATACATCAGTTTCTTCTTTGATAGTGTTATTAGATAGGAAGACTGGCATTGAGAGGGTACATAATTTTGTTATAACAAGGAAAAGAGGTGAGAACAAACAGTAGCAGTGACAGATATTAAATTTTTGTAGAATACGGACAGGATTGAGTCAGAGCTGGGAAAAGATAGAGAGTTTGGGTGTGGCATTTTTAACATTAATAAAGTTAAAAGAGAAATTATTTTTAAATGAAACAGGATTTACGCACTTATACAGATGCAATAGTGTTTTAAATTAGTAAAAACTGTTATACAGAAATATTTTACAAAAAGTTTATTGTAATGAAAAATTAAAATTAATTATTGCCTAACCTTCAAATCAAAGACAACATTTCAGTCATTAAAAATACATGTATACGAGGTGTGTCCGGAAAGTAAGTACCATTTCGTTCTACCGCCATTGCAGTGGTAGTATCGCAGTTCAGCGCCTGCGCACACGTCTCTCTGGTTGATTGTCAGTCCAGTGACGCCATTACAGCCAAATTGTGTTGTTTTTCCATGTGTTAGTGAGCGTTCAAAATGTTTAAGACTATTGCCGATCCCACTGACTGTGAAGTGCATTCTGTAATACGGTTTTTGAACACAAAGAATGTTAAGCCAGTTGAAATTCATTGTCAACTTGTAGAGATTTATGGTGAAAATGTAATGAGTGGTAAAATGGTTAGAAAGTGGGTTTGACAATTCAATGCTAAACGCACTGATGTACATGACGAAGCATGGAGTGGCTGGCCTTCTGTTGTCAATGATGGTTTGGTTGCAAAAGTGAATGAAAAAATTCCTGAAAACAGAGGGTTCACAATAAGAGTGCTTTGAGAAGAGTTTCTACAAATTTCAAATACTGTTTTGCATGAGATTGTTGCAACAACCGATGTTCAGCAGTGGCTGTCTTCACTGGCGGCATCTTTCTTTGAAGAGGGTATAGACAAGTTGGTTTCCCTATATGACAAATGTCTGAGCAATGGTGGTAACTATGTAGAAAAATAGTTTCAGACATGCTCTTTCATGTAAAAATAAATTTTGTTTTGAAAAAATATTTTTTATGTGAGTTTTTCCAAAATGGTACTTACTTTCCGGACATGCCTCGTATATTCTGAGCAGTCAACAGAAGATTATGCCGTATTGTTTTTTTTTTTGTATTATTATTTTCATAGTGTTTATAATACTACTTACTGTTTTAATAAAGAAAATTAGAATTAAAAGTAAGATATTATCTCCATTTCATATACAGAAAATTACGAATGAAAGAAATTATAGCTTGTAAAATTTTAAAACCCTACAGACTTTGAATAGAAATATCCATCTTCTGGAATATACAAATCTTTATAATTTCAACTGATAACATTTTAAACATGTCATTTCAAGTCACAATAAAATATAACTGTTATAAATTCATTACAGTTTATGGATGGAATAGTTGAAAATTTGAATTATACAAATTTATATTTGCTTTAAACATATGCTATGTTATAATGCTAAAGAGGATATTTCTATGTAATTAAGTCTTTACTAGCCTACATAAATTTTTTTACTAACTAATATTTTCAGCCTTTTTAAAAGGCCATCTTTGGGTTTTTACATTAATCTATACAAAAATAATTCAAAACAAAAATTTTACACAGAAATTATATATATATAAATTAATTTATGGAACTCATTTTAATTTATTAAATTAATTTTTGCATAGATAAATACAAAGCACAAAGATGGCTTTTTAAAAAGTTTGAAAGTACTAGTTATAAAGAAAATCTATGCTTGTTGGTAAAGGTTTAATAATATATAAATCATAACATATAATTTGTATCTTGATTTGAACAAATGGATACTTTTTATGTGAAAAAAACATTAAATTTTAATTGTTTTATGATTTTCAACAAGATTTATACTATTTAAAAATATATTATCTAAACAAAATAATACCTCTTCATTTTCAACAGGTAAATTTTCTGATTCATCATTTATTTGTACTTCTTTCACATCTATTTTAAGAGAGCAATAAAAAGTAAATTTTAATCAGTATAAAAGTTTAGTAAGAAATTTAAATACTATACCTGTTTTCTCAATTCCTGATGGTAGTTGTGTATCTAATTCACAGATTTCATTATTTTGCTTATGCCCAGATTTTCCTTCATCAGCTGATTTATTCGACATTGTAGTGCTAATTAACCATTGACAATCAGAAATTCAGTCTGAAAACAATAGATTATTATTATTATAAATGGATAACAAGATAAGTATTGCACAATTTTATGAAAAAGTATGGATCACTGCCAAACTCGAATAATAATGCAATAATGTTAATCTATTATTTATACTTTATATTTATGATCTTTATCAAAATTCAAAATCTAGCTTTCCAAATTTCCTACTTATAAATAAAAAATAGTTTCAAATGCTACGTTGTGGAAAGACTGATACTATACAGGGTCTTCCAAAAAGAATGCTACTATTTTAAATTATTGTAATTTTGTTAATTAATTATCATCCAAGAAATATGTAATGTATACCAATCCATAGTCTGAGTTTCATCTCCCATCTTCATTCAAATGTCTTATTGTCTACCACCTTTAGGAAGCACTGTAAATGAAAGTAATGACTTCCCACAGAGAAGTCATTTTGTAAAAATATATTACTCGTAAAACCAACACCAGCATATAACAAAAAAAATAAAAATTTACGAATGTTTTCATCTTTGCGAAATAGACATCCTCAGGTATATCAATATCGTATATACATGAGAATGTCTATTTCACATAGATGAAAACATTCGTAAATTTTTATTTTTTCTTGTTATATGCTGGTGTTGGTTTTACAGGGTGATATATTTATACAAAACCCAGTTATTGAGATACATTGAAGTCATTTTGTCTTCTACAGTTTGCAAAGTAGAAATCACTCATCACCATACAATGTGAGTAATCTGCAAGAGCTGCAGAATTGTGGCTGCCACAGGAGGAGTGACGATGGACATACCATGGTAAAAGTAGGAAGAATTTGAGTATCATTCAGATGCATGCTGTGCAAAGTCAGGTACAGTACATGCAGTGTGAAGTTGTAATGGGCAAACATGAAACTTGGACAATGTTTCAATGTATATTACAATGTTTGGGGGGTAATTAGGATAATTACAGAAGATCTTTTCAAAAAACCCAAGTTTTTGGCTTTTTTCAGTAACTTATCATACAAGGAATTCTTATCAATATAGGCTTTATTAATGGAATGCATTTCAGGTCTTTAAGAGGGATCATTAAGACCTGAAATGCATTTCCTTTAATAAAGTGTATATCAATAAGAGTTCTTTGTACAAGATGTGACAATTAAATTCCAGGACTGGAGTAATAAAAGGACATAAAAAACATAATGAAAAACCCTTTTACCATGTTTCAAAGTAATCCCCCTGGAGGGCAATGCACTTCTCACAATGCTTGTACAAGTTCTTGAAACACTCGGTAAAGTCACTTCCGTTGACAGCTCTCAATTCCTTGGTCACATTGCACTGTATGTCCTCCAGGTTGTCAAATCTTTGTCCCTTCAACGTGATTTTTGGAAACAAAAAATAGTCGCAAGGTGACAAATCTGGTGAGTATGGAAGGTAGTTCAACTCCACAATGCCACATTTGGCCCAAAACTCCTTGACAACAGTTGCAGTGTGCGGGCAGGCATTGTCGTGAACCAGCTTCCTCTTGCTGCAAACTGAAGCCTAACCCGACAAGTTGTTTCCAGATTGATCCCAGTTGTCTCTGCTATCATCCGAATAGACATTCTACGGTCATATCGCAGCAAGTCTCTGATTTTTTTGATGTTTTCTGGTGTTCGAACTGATTCAGGTCGTCCAGGGCAAGCATCATCCCGACCATTCCTGAAACACGCAAACCACCCGAAAACACGAGAGTGAGATAGGGCATCATTCTCATAAACTTGCTTGATGAGGGCATATGTCTACGTTGCACTTTTACCCAACTTGTAACAAAACTTAATGTTCACTTTTTGTTCTATGACAAAAACGTGATAGCACTTTCTCACAGCAATATGTGAATGGAATACAGAAAAAGAATGAGTTATGAGACATGAACAAATCTTTGCAGACAAGTAGCCAGATGGTTGAACTAATATGATAAGCTTAGACAAGTTTCTGCACACTGACACTGCAGTGCTACACGACCAGTCCTGGAATTAAATTGTCACACCTTATATGATAAGTTACTGAAAAAAAGCCAAAAACTTTAGGTTCTTGTATAAAAAAAATCCACAAAAACCAGTAATGGGACAATCAATTAAAATAATTACAGTAATTTAAGAAGACCCTGTGTATGTTNACACGACCAGTCCTGGAATTAAATTGTCACACCTTATATGATAAGTTACTGAAAAAAAGCCAAAAACTTTAGGTTCTTGTATAAAAAAAATCCACAAAAACCAGTAATGGGACAATCAATTAAAATAATTACAGTAATTTAAGAAGACCCTGTGTATGTTGTGATTCTATCTGAAAACTGAATGATTATTAATTACAATGTAAATTTTTGAAAATTCTAAAATTTATATCTTTATTTTCTTCACAATATCTTTATTTTCATCACAGGTATGGACAGATGGTGTTTATTGTATGATTTAAATGAATACTCAAAATCTTTGTCTTTGTATTAGCTCAAGTACAAGTAGTCATTACAGTAGAGCGTCGTTTATCCAAATCAATTGGGAACGGGGGTTGTTCGGAAAATCGATATTTCGGATAACCGATTATGTACGAAAAAATATATTAACCTATCCCATGTTGAAATTTTTCTCCGTTGCATGTCGCTTCACGTTAAATTTTCATCGATGTTAAGCCTAATGAAGATTATTGTATCATTAAAAATTATTTTTTTATTTTGTACAAACAAAATAAACATATTGAAAAATATAAAAACAATAAAAAATTACACTTTAGAAGTTAATTTAGTATCAAAAACGTAAAATATTTGAGTAACCCAAGACATAGCCAAAGAGTGCAGCGCCACAGAACTGGTAAAAATTTAAATTTGCCGACTGGAATTCTTTCGAATAATTGACTTTCGGATAAATGACGCTCTACTGTATTAAGAAATTTCTAAACAGCAATTTATCATCTCATTCCTTACTAAATTTTGGTTCAATTATATTAAACCTTGAATAAAATATAATTTATAAAATAATTAAGATTTTCAAAATTTCAATGTTTTTCTTTAATCTTGTAATATTTGTCTAAAAAATAAATATTTTATGATATCTGATCAGTATAAAAACAGTACTCTGTCAATGTCAAATATAACATATTGAGACATCAATTTTTCTGTTCAATGTCATAGCTAAAGGAATATACAAACATCTCCAACCCGATATATAACATAGCTACAACCGACTGCCGAAAATCTATCGGGCTAGTTTTATGCTAATTATTAAAATAAATTACGTAATCAATTTGGTACTAGAGGTAAGCGTTAGGCGCCATCTCTTATTAATATTAATAATTATAAATAATTTTAATTAATTTAAATAATTTGGAACCGCTGGGAGAAAAAATCGGCCCGGAGCGGGACTCGAACCCACAACTCCTGCTTACCGTGCAGATGCGTTGCCAGTTACGCTACCCGGACCTCCGATCCGATCTCCTCTTCCAGCGTATATAATCTAACTACTTAACCATCGACGGTTATTACAACGCCGGCTGGGGACACATTCAGTGCCCACGTCCTACTTCCCATACGGCTCTCAACCGGCCATCGCAAGCCCCGGCAAGGCGTAATATATATACAAACATCTCCAACCCGATATATAATTATAGCTACAACCAACAGACTGCCGAAAATCTATCGGGCTAGTTTTATGCTACTTATTAGATAAATTACGTAATCAATTTGGTACTAGAGGTAAGCGTTAGGCGCCATCTCTTATTAATATTAATAATTATAAATAATTTTAATTAATTT